AAAAAAAAAAAAAAACAGGCATTAGCTGAGCAGACAAATGTGAAAAAACATCCCAAGAATACGTCACAGTGTCTGCAAGCAGGCAGAACACATGTTAATTAGAAAAAACACAATAATAATGACAGTGATGACAGCTAATATTTATGGAGCACTTACTTCTAAGCACCTTGTACATATAAACTCATTTAATCTTCATAACAACCCTACATTGTTCTAATTTGCTAAGGATAAAATGCAAGGGAGAAAAGTAGGAGACACCATAAGCACAGGGAGATTGTGAGAGAACTTATGTGCCACAAAAAGGATTTCAAATGAATTCTATAGTTAGTATTTCCAAATGAGTGGAATACATGTGGTGCTTATGTTGAAGTAGTATTAAATAACACTAAATCACGGTGTGAGAAAATTATTCTCATTTCAATTATCTTTCAGTCCTTCTGGTAACATCATGGGCAACATTTCAGTTTTGCGCTAATATTCCTGAATACTTGCCAACTTAAAAAAAAGGGGGGATAAGTAACAGGATAATTTTATCAAATGATACAATATTTAGCCAGCAATTCACAACACTAATTTGTTTTTATTTTATTTATTTTATCTATTTGTTTTATTTGTTTTTATTTTATTTGCTTAATTTTATTTTTTATTTTTTTAATGTTTATTTATTTATTTTGAGAGAGAAAGAAAGCACAAACTGGGGAGGGGCAGAGAGAGAGGGGGAGAGAGAGAATCCCAAGCAGGATCTGTGCTATTAGCACGGAGCACATAGGACTTGATCCCACAAACCATGAGATCATGACCTGGGCCAAAATTAAGAGTGGATGCTTAACCAACTGAGCCACCCGGGCAACCTGTATTTTATGTTTACTTTTAATCAACTAGATTTCTGTTTATGGTAGTATTACAAAATTTTATTTTAAAGTAAATTTCTTGACATATAAATGAATCCACTCTTAAAATAATTAGAGTACAGTCAATTCTTGATTATAGCAAACTCATGAAGTTGGGAAATACTGATATAAATAATGGTTCTCTGCTGACAAATTTTGGGGTTTTTAAAAAAATTTTTGAGTGTAGTTGACACACATTACATCAGTTGCAGGTATACAACATAGTGATTTGATAACTTTATATGTTATGCTGTACTCACAAGACCAGCTACCATCTATTGCCATACAATGCTAGTACAATAGAATTGACTATATTCTCTACGTTGTGCCTTTTATTCCCAAGACTTCTTCATTCCATAACTAGAAGCCTGTATCTCCCACTCCTTTTTTTTTTCCTACTGATGAATTTTGAGCAGAGAAGTGACATGATCGGTGTTAGAAAAAGGTTACTCCAGTGATAAACTTTGGTGAGAAGGAGAGAGAAAATATTAAAAATAGAAAGAACAATAAGAGGGTTATTACAAAAATCCAGAAGAGAAATGAATCTCCGAACTAGGGGGAAGGTGGTAGGAATGGCAATGCGGAGCAAAATACAAAAGATCTTTAGCAAGTGGGAGGTAACTTGATCACTGACACAATATTGAAGGTAAGGGAAAGAGAGGAATCTAGAACTCTGAAGGTGTTATTTGGGTTGCCATGTGTATAGGGAGGGTCTTACTCTGACAGTCATCAGGTTTGCGAGAAAAAGAGTTTGGGGCATTCTGAGTTAAGGAACAGGCAAAGAAGCAAAGAGATAACGCAAGACTGAGTTCTAGAGTTTAAGCTTCAGTGACTATAAAATGGTGAGAACCCCAAAATAGGAAGTTGGAAGGAACACTGTGATGAGGGGGCAGTCAGGAAAACATGTTGACTTCGAAGTGCTAGTGAGGTATCTTCATAATGTCTAGCAAACAGTAGACAGTATTTGCAGATCCTCACATACAGGTCTTGGAGATGTGAACTTCAACAACATCAGTAGAGGGACAGGGCAGAAGCTATGGGAGTAGATAAAATCACTGAGAGATATCAAGAATGAGAAAAGGGCTGGTGTTGACCCTGGTAATACCTACCCTTGAGGAAGTGGTTTTTTTAGACATTTATGTCATCTTCAAAATTTTTGCCACAACAAAATGATAAGTGATAATCTTTTCTTTAATATATTTCACTTAATTGATATACTTTTTAAAAACCAACTATTTTTAAAATAAACTTTGTATCACTACCATAACTAGAAAAGCAGTTTAAGTTGCCAGAAATTAAAAGTAACTACAAATAAAAATTAACCCAACCAAAAAAATGGACAAAAGATTTAAACAGACAATTCAGCAAAGAATATCAAAGAAAAGTTATAACCACATAAAAAGATGCTCAGAAACATCAGTCATTAATGAAATGCAAATTAAAAACACCGTGAGACAGCACCACTCATCCACTAGAATGGCTATAGTCAAAAAAGTCAAGTATTGACAAGGATGTAGAGAAATTAGAATCATCACTGATGGTGGGAATATAAAATGGTATAGCCACTTTGCAAAACCGTGGCAGTTTCTCAAAAAGTTAAACATATACTTAGCAAATGACCCAGCAATTCCACTCCTAGGCATCTAACCAAGAGAGATTAAAGCAGCTATACAAAAACTTACGCACATATATTCATGGCAGTATAATTCCCAATAGCTAAAAACTGGATACAATCCAAATGCCCATCAACAAAGTCGGACAACCAAGAATCACCACCAGCATGGAAAAAGCACCATAGTCTGTAAATGGAAGAACTACTCCCGAGAAAACCCTCAGTAGTGGAGATATGTATAAGATTTGAGGGAATATTATATCCATTAGGAAAAACAAAAACCAACAGTTCTTATAAGTAAAAAATTACAGTAATAAATTATTCAGCAATGTTTTATTAACAAAATGCACATAGCTGAACAGCTGAAGACTAAGCCAAGAAGGTCTCCTAGAATGCAATGCAAAAAGAGAGGTGAAAAGGATAAAAAAAGTAGAATTGGGAGAAAGATCCAAGAGATCTAATATTCATTTATTAGAAGTTCTATAAAGAGTTTGAAAGAAAATGATTAGAAGAAAGACACAAGTCTTCAAACAGAAGTTGTATTATGATCTAGACATATCTGAGTAAAGAGAAAAACCCTAAGGCCTGAGAGAGAGGAGAAAAGAAGGAATGATTAGCATCAAACTTAATTATCTGCAACACTGAATATTAACAATTGAGCAAGCATAACATAACTTATACACTGTCAAATCATTATGTTATACACTGAAACTAATATAACACTGTGTGTGTCAACTGTACCTTAATTTAAAAAAAAACCTGAGCAATATCTTCAAAGTTCTCTTGGAAAATGATTCAGAAGCTAAAAGCTGACACCTAGCCAAACTAGCATTCAAATATGATCAAAGTAAACCCAGTTTGGGATATACTCCGTTTGTTACCCTTAAACTCTGGAGAGGCTTCTTGAGGATGCAGTTGCAATAAAATGAAAAAAAAAATCCAAGAAAGAGGAAAACATGGGATAAAAGGAACTTGATGAGAAATGGAAGACTACAGAGTATAATTTAAAGGTAAGCAACTGTTTATAACATGGCCAGAAAACTTAATGCTAATGTTAAGAATTCAATTCAGCAGTAAATCCTGGTCAACATGTGCCCATGGAGAGAGGCTGAGGTGACTGAATTTTAGCCCCAGGAACCCTGGCGCCAGGATGGGGAGGATGTTGGCTTCATTATCCTAGGTCACCTTCCGGGCTGTGAGCAAGAGAAAGCACATCCAGGTACCCTCGCCCTGACACCTTCAGCAGTAAATGAAATAAAGCAATTTTTTCTTTTTTTGAGAGAGAGCACAGGCACACAGGGGGTGGGGCAGAGGGAGAGAGAAAGAATCTTAAGCAGGCCCCATGACCGAAGATCATGACTTGAGTCGAAATCAAGAGTTGGACGTTTAACCAACTGAGCC